ATTGACAACTTATTGTTCTATTTTTCGTTTATTTTTAATATATCATATACTTAATTCTAAGCAGTGCAGAATCTAAGACTAAACAGAAGGCACTTACATTTCCAATAGCCAAAAGAGCTTTGTCAAAGAAGAGTATCATTCCAAAGAAAAGGAAGAACACTCCAAACCCTGTTAGTCCCATTCCAATTTCTGAAAAAGAAACAAATTTAGGCATGTAACAGAACATAGTACCAGGAAAACCTCATGCATAAAAATTATGAAAAACTTAGAATGTCCAAGCTACAGACATTTTAAATTTATAGAAAAACTCAGCCTATTTTATGACTACCTAAAAACTTTCCTGAGTGTACAAATACAGTAAGTCTTGTAGACACCAATTACCTCAGTAACAGACAGAGAGATCTTTGGAAGCTGCTTATCAAAAAAGTACACATTCAGAACTATATACTGAAATTGAATGCAACAAGAAAGCATGCATGCATATATACATACCACAAAGACATTCCTTTTGATTTACTGCTAGTGTGGAGAAAAGGATTGTTTTGTGAACAGATAATGAAACTTTGTTTTCCATTTGCAACTCTTATCCCATTATGTTTACCACAGTAACATAAGTACACTGGTCGTTTCCATCCTCCCGAGACCTCACATTCCACCTCCCATGATCTTGCATAGCAGTCCCACTTTCCCGAACTTCTGGAGTGAACACAACTCAGATTAATGCTGTAGGCTCTTTACAAGTTACACATGCGCTGATGGCTATTAAACACTAGCTTGGGTCTCCAGCCAGTTGCCAGTTTTCACAACACTTGTAGATACTACATATCTTTGAATTCTCCCTGTCTGTAAAGGTTGCTCAAGAAATACTGTGAAGGCAAGAGTAGGATGGAAGGTCTGTCTGACAAACCAGGTTAAAAATATCAAGCTATGATTAAAGCTACCACTTCACAATAACCTCTAAGGTATCTTGAACACCATACTTAGAAATACATCCTACTTTTAAAATTAAACCTCTAAGGCCTTCCCGTCACTCTCATGCAGACTGAATGGGAGAAATAACACAAATGACAACAACACAGCTGCAAAAATCCTTGCATTTATCTATGCACTCATCCTTACATTATTGTTATCCTTGTGACCAGAAAATTTAGAAACTTACAGGATACATAAAACCAGCTAGCAACACCAGCCACGATACTACAGACAGGCTGGCAGCCCAGTTTGTGTGTCTCTGTGTATATATAGGTATAGTTTGAAGATCCCAGTACTAGTGTAGCCTGAAACAAACAAACAAGAACCCCACCCACACTATCATAGCCTTCATTGCTACTGTTTGCCAGATCTACATAAATGTATTTCAGTTGCACTTCTGACTGCAGAGTAGATCTAGTTGATCGTTTACTGTTGCTTGAAGAGCTCAGGAGTAAAGGAGTATCATTCTGCCTATTTCAGAACTTCCATTTAGTTATTGCAAAAAAATTCAAAACACCTCAGAGTAGAGAGATTTGTACAGCAACATTCAACTTCCCTAACTTGAGCAAGGTTGCAGACCACTTGGTGTTAAATCTGTAGTTCTACAGCACTGCCTGCCACTTTAAACTTTTGCTATAAGCATTTTAACCACCCAGAATTAAAACTACTAAGTAACCTGCTACAATTGATTTACTGCAGACATTCATTGAAAATACAATTTGCAATTCCATTTTTCCTTGTAAACAAGTATTGAGAATCTGCTGACTGAAAGCAATATAATAATTGCAATCTGCCCTTTTCTCTACTACTCTTTACTTTAGAAGAGCAGAAACAATCTGTATTCTGGAAGGAAAACACTTGGAGGCAGGACTCCAAAGGAATTACCAGCTGCCAATAAGATAAATATGCAGTCATGGGAAGCAAGTATTCATTCCTCTCGCAGACACAGCACAAAGTAGGGATCTAGCAAGAAGGCAGAGGCCAACTCCCAACAGCTGCTGCAATTACTATTCTGTCACTTCTCCTGTATTCACTTGAAACATGTTTGTAATCACCTACTCCTACAATGGATTCAGATTCACTTTAGAAGTCAAGCATATTCTCTAGTTAGTGAAAAGAAAAAAAAAAAAAAAAAAAGAGGACCACCATTCTTATGGTCCCAAAATTACTGCTGAAAGAAGATAAGTAGTCCAGGACTATTACTCCCTGTTGCTAACATCTCAGTAGAAGGTATTACTGACTTGATTCATATCAGAATTTGGAAATATATTTCACTAGCATTCCTAGGGGAAGAAAAAAAAAAAAGCAAGTGATTTTGTACATGATCTTTGCAACAATGGACTAGGAATTTTTATAGAGGGTGTAAATTATTTTTAAATGCTTTCTCCTGCACCAGAAGAGCCTTCCCATATTACTCAAATACATTTCAATGCCTAGAAATGCAGAAATGCATACTAACCATGTGACATTTAGTCTGTTTTTTTAAAAATTATGATTTACTGAAACGAGGGAGCAATGCTTTCTCAAATGTTTCTGCAGAAATCCTGTAAGCTGTGTAAGAGTACTTCAGCACTGTATCAAAACAGCTTAGTAAATATTAAGACTTACAATTAAGATGCATTGACTGTGAAAGTTCATGGAAGACAATACACATCCTCCATCTTTTGTGTACAAAATAAGAATGGAATCGTGCACTACAGGCTCTCAGAAGACAAAAATTTCATGCAGTTTATAGGTTATGAAAAGTTTCAATTTCTAACTATTATTATTTTGCTAGTAGTATTTTTTTAGTACTGAAAAATTAATTTGTTTGGGAAAAACTAAGTGCGTTCTTTTGCAATTACTGGTGATTTATAACACCATTCAATGCATCACTTACAAAATGTTCTAGACTACAGCTGCAAACTTAAACTTTCCAAACGTCAACTAATGCAGCAGTCCTCTCCAGGTATTTATCACACTACTCCAGCAGTGACTCTGCAGCTAACTCCATATTTTTCTAGACCGCAGTGAGTTTAAAACTATCTGATGAAATATCTTCAGAATTTCAAAAAAACAGTGAAAAAAAACCAACAACCCTAAAAAAACCCCCTGAACTCCACAGTACTTTACTTACTACTCTTGGCTCTGGAAGTTAAAACCAACAGAATCAGCACTGGAGTTAGCTGAAGGTCCCAAACGAGGAACCAAGAAAAGGAAACAGTGAACAGATCTCCTCTTTCTGAAGAGATTTTTCTTTTTTTCCCCCGCAATGAATACTCTGGACAGGAGAATAGGAAAAGCAAAGCCCGCAAGGGTTTAATCAATCTGAAATCTAAACGTTAACCCCAAGGGTTAGTACCCATCCCAGTAACAGAGCACGGCACCTAAATTTCTCAAGAAATCATTGACCTTGAAACATCGCTAACCTTTTCTGCCTGTCTTCATGCTTGGCCTTGACTGGCTCTCCAATGCCTCTGTTTCCAGTATCCTGCTATCAAGTTAAACTCAGTTCTTTTAACTTTCTTTTCTACATCTTTCAGACTTGCCCTCCTTCATAACTGACAGTACAGTGCTTATCAAGCCGACTTATTTCCTTTCACGGCAACCATGCCAGAAACGCATCATACATGAGATGTTAATTTAAATCAAACACCTACCGTTCTCCTTTACCTTCAAGTTCAAACTCTTACAAACCCCTTTACTTTGATTTCTTTGTACTTTCCCTTTCAGCACCTCTATTTCCAAGTACTTCTATTCAGTGAGAACAAAACTACGGTCACACGCAAGTACTTCCCCCCCCGCTTCAGACTGAGTGTCTGGTCCTCACCTTAAAATCCCCTCGGTGTCACCTGCAAACGTTCAGCGTGATAACGGCACGTTAAGAGAAAGCACTAACATACAATTCACTGATTCCAAACCGCTAACGTCCACGTGGAGGCACGCTAGAAGACTTCAGCTAATGGTTACTTTTGTTTACCGTTCGGCCTTCCTTCGTTCTCGCCACCGCCGCATCGCAGCACCCCTGCCCACACGGAACATCTCCCAGCCCAAGGCAAACGCTAGCGGCGGCGGCGGCGGCAGAAGCGCCCTCCCCGGGGCGCGGGGACCAGCCCTGCCGAGCGCTCCGCCGCAGCCCCGCGCCCCAGCTCGCTCTCCGCTTCCCCCGGCGGCTCAGGGCACCGCCGCTAGACCCGACGCCGGGGCCAGCGCCGTTTTGACCGCCCTCACGAACAGGATGCCGACGGGCGCGGCCAGGTGAGCTCCGCCTGCGCCCCTCCCGTTCCCGGCCCGCCGCTGGTTTCCAGCCGGTGCCCGCGCAAGCCGGACCCCGCCTCAGCGCCGAGAGCCGCCTCTCCGGGGCGGGCGCGGGCCGAGGACGGAGGAGAGCTCTCCGCAGGGGCGCTCCGCCACAGCGGCCCGGGCCGGGGCCCTCGGCACCGACCGCTCCCACGGCTGCGACCGGCGGGCCGCGGGAGCGCGAACAAAGGGCGAG